CCCTAGTACTTTAAAAAGAAAAAAAGAAAGGAAGAAAGGAAAAGAAAAGAAAATGATTTAGCATGAAGGCCATGTGGCTGAAGCAGAGGGAGGAGTAGGAAGTGAGAGAGGTGACCAGGTTGTGCACTTCATTTAGTTCAGAGTAAGGTGAGCCTGGCAGTAGATGGAGGTGCTAGGAAGGGACTGATTCTGGACATGTGTCAACAGGAGCTGACAGTTTGCTGCTGGGTTGGATGTAAGTCATAACAGCAAATAAGAAGTTAGGGAACTTGAGGGATTTGGCCCCAGCACTGAGAGGATGGAACTGTCAGTGGCTGGGATGGGAAGATGAGGAATTTCACCCTGGACATGTGAAGCTCAGCTGCCTGTTGTAAACTGTGCAGTCCTTGGTCAGCACATGACATTATGAGTAGTGGCAGAACCAAAAAGAAAGAATAGTATTAATATTAGCAAATAATAATTTTCAAGTTAATTTTTTTTTTTTTTTTTTTTTTTTTTTTTACCATTCTCTTACCTACTCAAGGAGAATATGTCACATTCCAGTTACAGGGAGGAAACTGGTGGCCAGGCAGAATAAGTGGCCTTTTTTCTCAAGATCAAAGTCGGCCTGGGGGCAGAATCAGGGCTTGAGTTCATCTTCCTCCAGCAGTGTTGGAACACTGACTCTTGACTCTCAGGGACACAGAGACACAAAGAGGGTCAGAGACATGAACTATGAGTCAGAGAAACCAAGTCAGAAACATAAAAGGAAGCGTGAGGCAGAGCAGAGAGACTCAGTCAGGGAGACAGCTACACAGAGTGACCTAGAAAAGCCTCAAGAGCTGAGAGCCAGCCCCATGTGCCTCTGGGACTTGGCCCACATGACATTCTCCCTCCCTCCCTTCCTTCCTCTTCCCCGTGACCTGTTGCCAAAATATCACAGGCATGCTGCTGGCATCCAGCCTGCCAATTAATGCAGCAGCCCTTCCCTCTGACTTCCTCCAGAGCCTCAGAGGTGCCCCCCAACTCACTCTTCCAGCCCTGCCCTGCCCCACCCTGCATCTCTGAGAGGAAAACTGGCCTGGGGACCCGCCTTGGACTCTGGGGCTCCCTTCATCAAGCCGCTCCCTGAGCAGAGTGTGGCCTCTCGCACCCTTTTATCTGCCATCTCTGAGCACCTTTGTGAGCGTCCTTGAAACCAGGGCTTAGTAGAGGTACCCACACCCATGCCTGGCTCCCCTGCCCTCAGGGTGGCATGTAGGGCAGGAAGAGCAGGGAGGGGCTTCAAGGAAGCTCCTGGGGTGGCTCTGAGGAGGCTGAGAAGACAGATCTATTCATAGGAGGAGAAAGATGAAGCCTAGTGAAGAGACACTAAGGAGGAATTAGGGCAAAGTAGGACCTTTTGGGTTAGATAGAGGGATGAGCTGGTGAACAACAGCATCTGAAATGAATGAAGAGCAAACACAGGGAGGAGGGAATCTGGCAGAAGAAGCTGGATGTGATGAGAGGATTTCATCAGAACTACATAAAGTTGGACATGAAATTGGAGAAGAGATAATACTTTTTGCATTTTGGAGCACCATTATATATTTTGTATCAGCATTTGTTTATCATAAATATCATTACTCTCATTTTACAGATCAAGAAACTGAGGCTCAAGAAGTGAAATGAATTGCCCCAATTCACACAGCTAGTAAGAACAGAAAATTTCTACTTTCTCTTTTATACCATAGCAGCAACAGTGTCTGTAGGTGACATGTTAAATAGAAGAGAGAGATTAGACTTTTAGGAGGTTAAGGATTTTCATCCTACAAATATTTATGGGCCACTTTTTCTGTGCCAGGTAATATGTTAAGCACTGCAGGTATTAAGATAGTCTGTTTCAAAAGACTGAGCTTCCAGTGCAGCAGAGATGTGAGCTGTATAAACAAGACAAGGGTGTGGCCCCAGGCCTGAGGGCTCCTCTGGGGGAGGGCAGCTTGGGGAAGCTTTCGCAGGGGATGTCTGGGAAGAGGGAAAACCTTTCTCCAGTGGATGGTGGGAGAGGGTGAGAGTGGGCCTTTTAGGTAAAAGCCAGTTTGCACAGTGCATGGGAGAGTAGGTGTGTGAAAGAACAAAGAAGGGATGTGAAGGGTACTCAATGGAGAAGCTAAAGAAATGATGGGGAGGACAGTGGCATTAAACTCATGTTCCATTTTAAATCATCACATGGCTGTCATGAGGGTTAGGAGGGATCTTACAACTATAGGGCTATGGGTTAAAGTGCTTCTCCATTTGTTGGGACAATAGAAATATTCATAGCATACCTGTATGCCAGATGACATCCAAAGTGCTTTCATGTATATTAGGTAATTTAATCCATGTAGCAGTATTTAATAAGAATGAGGAAGGACTGGGGATATAGTTCAGTGGTAGAGCATGCTTAGCATGTATGAAACCCTGGGTTCAATCCCCAGCACCAAAACAAAACAAAGAACAAGGAAAAGAACCCTATTTGGGTTGACATGAGACAGTCTCTAGGAACGTGGTTAAAAAGAAAAAGTTCAGAATATTGAGTACTATGAGTTATGATTCATATTAAATAAACACCCACAAGGGAAGGATTTTGGTGGGGGGGTGGATAGAGAGAACAGAGCCAGGCCTGGAGAAGGGCAGGTGCAGCTCACAGCTGAGGATTACAGTGTGTGGTGAGCATCATATCCTGCCTGGGGCTGGAGCTGAGAAGGACCTAGAGCTTGCCTTGCCAAGCGCTTAGGATCAATCCTTTATCCTGGGCAAGTCTCAGAGAGTTCTTAAGTCCGGTAGGAATATATTCCGAACATGTTCCAGAGGCCATTCTGGCAGCAGGTACAGAGTGGATTGTCAAAATTGTGAAAGATCAGGAAGATTGCAGAAGGCTGGACTGCCGGAATAGAGAGGGGGAGGAAATGTGAGGGAGTGTGTGGGCAGCACAGCTTGATGTGGGGGAAAAAAAGAAAAAGAACACAGAACATAATAAGATTATTTCCAGAATTTTAATTGAAGTTATTACGTGTAAATAAAAAGTCAAATAATTAGATGGGTTAGATAGAAAAAAAATATTAGGGGCTGGGGAGGTGGCTCAAGCAGTAGCACGCTTGCCTGGCATGCGTGTGGCCCGGGTTCGATCCTCAGCACCACATACAAACAAAGATGTTGTGTCTGCCGAAAAACTAAAAAATAAATATTAAAAAAATTCTCTCTCTCTCTCTCTCTGTCTTTTAAAAAAAAAAATTAGCCCTCACCCCTATCTCTCTACTTTCAACTCTTAGCTCATTTGTTTTTGGTGTTTGTTTCTATATGCCAGGATTATATTAGTAATTATATGCTCCTTCAATTTTAGGCATTATCTATTGATTTATGCAAGATATAACTTTTTATTTAAACCACAACCTCACTTGGTCCTCAAGCAAATATCCTCCCATCTTCATTACCCTTACTTAATAGCTATTTCAAAAACACAAACATACATACATGCACATTCACATATATATATATTTCTATGTGTATATGAGTATGTATATAAATACTCAGAAAAATGTCATGAAGGACTACATTAAGTTAGGATTTAGGGAGACAGTAGTTAAATGAGACTTTCATTCTGCCTATCTCATTTAAATTCTTTGCAAATGAATGTATACATTAATTACTTATATAGTTTTAAAAAATAATCCATACAACAATACTAAAAGGCAATTATCATTATCCACAGTTGACAGATGCAAAAACTAAAGCCCAGAGAGTTAAGTAATTTGTTCCAGGTCTTACAGCAATCAAACACCTCTGGTAAGAAGATTTGAACCTAAAGGAAGAGAAGGCAGGACATAAGGATGTGATAAAGAAAGCCAGGCATTGTGTGTGGGGGTGGGGTGGGGGGGGAGGGTAATAAAGAACCTAATAAGAACAAGAAAGTCTGCCTTTGTCAGAAAGGGGAAATGAAAGCAGGAGGCATTAACATTAGAAATATCTGATTTGAAGAAACATTAAGGGCCTTACTAGGAAAAGGGAATCATTAATACACAGAAGCACTGGAGGATTAAAGGTCATGGCCCCACATCCTTCCCAAGACAACTCAGGAGCCAGGCATCTGGCAGGCTGTTGATTTATCCCACAGTGACTCACTGGATCCCTGAAACTGACAGGCTGGGTGAGATCACCACCCCAAAAGGCAAAGAGCAGAGACAAGAAGGCCCTTGGGGTCCAGAGAGCTGAACCTGTCTGGTCAGAGGCCACTATCAACAAAGAATTCATATCTAATAGGTTTTCCTCAGGGCTCAAATGAGTGGGTATGGGAGTCACTATGAGACTGTGATGTAAGGAAGGATGACAAACAAAAACAGCCCAGCCAAGACAACAAGCTTCAGAGTCTCTGCCCTGGGAGAACAAGGAACCTCCAGATAGGAGAGGCCTGCATGAGGCCCCAGTCAAGGCCACCCAAGGCTGCTCCCTAATGACTAGTTGTCTTCACTGTGGCCATGAAAGGTGGGGTTTTATGGCTAAGTTGGAGATTGAATACCTTGGAGATAAACTCAAGACTTGTCCTGTTTGAAGAGCTTTTGCACTGAACTGGACTCTAAACACGCATTCCCCAACCACACAATTTCATCTATGCCCCAATTCCCCACCTAAGCACTCAGACAGGAAAACAGAGCAGCCTCTGCTATTCAGAAGGTGACCTGACACCCCAAACACTTTTATTCTCCTCCTAGGCATAAACTGCCCTAGAAAATACCAACCTCAGACAAATTTACCCCAAACTGTGATAGTGAGAAAAAGCAAGATAATTTTGTCTGAACACAGACCAAAAAAATCATGGTAACTGTACATTCACAAAATACCAAACACCTCTGCTAAAAGGGAAGATGCATTTTTGACCAATTTGTGAGATAACTGCTATGTGTGTGTGTGTTTTATTGGGGATTTAACACAGAGAACTTTACCACAAAGCTAAAGCTCCAACCTTCTATTATTTTTATTTTGAGATAGGATCTCACTAAGTTGAGTTGTTGAGGCTGGCCTCAAGCTTGTGGTTCTCTAGCTTCAACCTCCTGAGTGACCAGGATGACAGAAGAGCTTCACTGTGTTTGGCTCTTTAAAAAAAAAAAAATAATAACCAATTACAGTTTTATCCTCATTCTAGTCTCCTCTCCCACAAATCCTGTAGTAGGTGTTCTTTTTTTTCCTAACACACTTATTGAGATGGCCTATGATTTCCTATGGAGTGCATTCTCCCTCTCTGCAAGGAATAATAAATTCAACTTGTTCAATTGCAAGTGTGTTCCCAGGGTATTTGGATGGAGAACCATTCAGTGTTCTCTCTTTTTTTCTCATTCTTTCTTTTCCTTTTAAAAATTTTCTTCCTCCTCCCCCCCCCCCCCCCCCCCCCCCCCCCCCTCCCCCCCCCCCCCCCCCTCCTTTTCTTCCTCCTCCTTTTCTTCCTCCTCCTCCTCCTCCTCCTCCTCCTCCTCTTCTTCTTCTTCTTCCCTTTTTTTTTCTGTTTGATGTGGATCAGAGGGTTGAACCAGGGGCCCTCTACTACTGAACTACATTCCCAGTTCTTTTCATTTTTATTTTGAGACAGGGTCTCACTCATTTGCCCAACTGGACTCAAACCTGTGATCCTCCTACTTCAGTGTCCCAAGTAGCTGGGATTATAGACATGGCCACCACATCCTGCTTCATTCTTATCCTCTGGATGCACACTGAAGAACTGGATCCATGCTGTTGGTAAGAAGCTGGGACAAAGGCAGGAGGTGCTGTCAGAAGGGACAGATAGTCATGTATTCACTCAGCAAGTATTTGTGGAGAACCCACATATGCCACAGATTGTTCTAGTTGCCAAGGACAATAGGCAAATAGAACAAGATCCCTGACTTCAGGAAGCACTCAGTTGAGGTGAGGGTGGGAGATACACGAGCAGATCATTGATTTGTGGAAATAAGTCCAATAATTTAGATATGGCCCTGGGGCTGTTCTATGCTCATAGAGGAGATTCATCCAAACCAATGTAGGAGAGAAGGGGGGACTTTAAAAAAAAAGGCTTCTGGGAATGGGTATTTGAGGCCTGGAAGCTGAGGAAAAGCTCATACGAAGAAACAAAAGCAGGTCAGGGAGATGATAGATAGTGTGATGGGTGGTGAGTTTTATGCAGTTTGGTTTTACTAGAGTGAAAAATGGGAAGCAGGCAAGAGGAGGGATTAGACTGGAGGCTCTTACAGATCACAATGTGGATTTCAGTCCTTCTCCTTTAGAGAAAGTGAATCATTGAAAGTCCAGCTAAACCTGATATGGTTAGATTCAGTTTTAAAAATTCAGTTGAATGTCTGCTATGTACTTTAAAATTCATAAAATTACAAGATGGACTGATGATAAAGGGATGAGTAGATAGAAGCATTGGATAAAGCAACTATAGTCAAATGCTAATGACAGAATCTAGGTGGTGGGTATTTGGGTATTCATTGCAAAACCCTTTTCAACTTCTCTCTGTGTGTGTGGGTGGGGGGGTGTTTCCTTTGGTGGTGCTGGGGATCAAATCCAAGACCTCATGCATGCCAGACAAGTATTTTACAATGGAGTCACATCCCAAGCCCCTTTTCTGCTTGCTGAATGCTTGTGATAAAATTTTGGGAAACAGCTAAGCACAGTGAAATATACTTGTAGTCTCAGCAACACAGGAGACTGAGACAGAAGAAACACAAGCAAGTTTGAGGATAGACTTGGCAATTTAGTAAGATCTTGTCTCGTATTAGGGTTGTAGTTAAATGGTAGAGCTCCCCTACATTCAATCCCCAGTCCTGAAAACAAAACAGGGAAACAATTCTTTTGGCCTGAGTCAGAGAGGATGGATTGGGCAGAACAGGTCTGGAGTCAGGAAGATGAGGGAGGCAGTGGTCATGGTAATTCAGATGGGGGCTGATGGCCTAATCTAGACAGTGGCAAGGGGAGCAGAGGAAAGAGGGTGGAGTTCTGAAGAAGAAGCATAGAGTTGGGCCCTGAAGGACCATGAGAGTGAGGAAAAAGAGGATGAGAAAAACACCTAGGTGAAAGTGAGTAAGTGGAGGATGGTGGCAAAAAAATGAGTAGAGAATAAGGCCACAGGAAGGAGGACAAGATGATTTGATGATCCAGAAGTATCTGGACTATGCTTCAGGAGTTAGCAGACTCCATGCTTCTCAAGGGGTGGGTGGAAGGGTCTCAGCACCGTGGGCCTCCTCCTTTTGACACTGACCTTAGTTGTCACTGGACTTCCCCAAGAGTGGGTGGCTCTTGCTTACTCTCCCTTGCTAGGGAGCAGTTCTTTTGCACCCCCTCATGCTTTCTGTACTCCCACTACACAGTTTTCTCTTCTACCTTGCCACTTCCTTGGTCCTCCAGCCTAGTTGCTCAAACTTGACTCTCCCTGGAGAATACATCCTCTGACCCACTACCTTGTCTTCCTTTCTTCTTGTTTTGACTTCCTTCAGGTTTTGGCCTTGGCTTTTTCAGTAATAGAACAATGACCATCCCCTTCTCAACTCCTGAAGGAAGAGGAGTTCTTCTTTCAGAGCCTTTCAAAAGCTGTCATGACTCTAAAGAACCATTTTTCCTGCCATCATTTCTCTTTTTTCATAACCTCATTTTCCAGTATGTGATAGAAGGAATTATAGGTTGAACTGTGTCTGCCAGAAAGCTAGTCCTAGCTCCAGATACCTATGAAGGTAACTTTGTTTAAAAATAGGATCTTTTCAGATGAAATCAAGTTCAAATGAAGTCAACTGGATTACAGTGGGCCTTGGTCCAGTATGACTGGTGTCCTTACAAGAAAAGGGAAATCTGGATATAGAAATGCAGGGAAAAACTGGGCACAGTGGTGCATGCCTATAAACCCAGCATCTCAGGAAGCTGAGGCAGGGGGATCACAAGTTCAAAGCCAGCAATTTAGTAAGAACCAGTCTCAAAGAGTAAAAATTTCTGGGGATGTGACTCAGTGGTTAAGCACCCCTGGGTGTTTAATCCCTGGGGGTGGGGGGAGAGAGAAAAGAAGAGAAGAAAAAGACACATAGGGGAGAGGACAGATGAAGAGATCAGAGTGATGCATCTTCAAGCCAAAGAATGCCCAGGATTTCAGTATTACAGAAGCTAGCAGAGATAAGGAAGGAGTCTTCCCTAGACCCTTCAGAGGGAGCAGGGCTCTGCTGACATCTTGATTTCAGACTTCTACCTTCCCAAACTGTGAAAGAATAAGTTTCTGTTGTTTCAAGCCACTCAGTCTGTGTGAATGTGTTATGACAATCCTAGGAAACTAATAGGGTGTCTAGGAGGGAACAATACCATGGAAAGATTATTATTTGTCATAATCATTCTGTCACTTGTTTAGGGGCTTTTGTCTTTTCAAAACGCTTTTTGCACGTGCTTTAGACTTAAGTTTGAGCATCTATGACCTATCTGGAATGTGGGAGTGCCATGATACATAATTCTTCAAGAGATTGTGAGGAGTAAATGGAATAACATCTCTGAAACCATTTAAAAAACTGCTGAACAAGTTATTGTTGGTACTATTAACATGTGGAGGAACAGGAAAAAAAAAGTTAAGGAATGGAAATTTCAGCTCTTGATATGGACTCAGTACCTGCCCAGAACACTCCTCAAGGATATAGGATTCCAAAAGGCTCTGAAAGAGAAGCCCCTCTTTCCTCAGGGATAAGGGAGGGGCTGGTCATTGCCCAAGATTAAGATTCAGGTTGGAAGACCTCCCCAAATTTAAACCTGGTGGTAAAATATTCTTCCATTCACTCTGAACCATACCCTGAACTGCCACTGGAATAGGGGAGTGAAAAATGAGTGAGAGGCTGCTTCTGTCTTCAAGGAGTTTCCATCTACTAACTGGTCCTTTGGTGGCTTTGAGAGTATGCACACTTCCTACAGCAAGAGTCAGGCACCCTGGCTGGGGAAGACTTCTTGGAGGAAGTGAGGTGGAACTGGTCCATAAAAATTGAATTTCCAGAGCTGGGGATGTGGCTCAAGCAGTAGCACGCTTGCCTGGCATGCAGTGGGTTGGGCGCTGGGTTCGATCCTCAGCACCACATAAAAAAACATTAAAAACTAAAGATGTTGTGTCCACCGAAAACTAAAAAAAATAAATAAATATTAAAAAATTCTCTCTCGGGGCTGGGATTGTGGCTCAGCGGTAGAGCTCTCACCTAGCACGGGCGGGACCCGGGTTCAATCCTCAGCACCACATAAAAATAAAGGCATCGTGTTGTGTCCATCTACACCTAAAAAAATAAATATATAAAAAATTCTCTCTCTCTCTTTAAAAAAAAAAAAAGGCTGAATGTTTTTAAAAAATTGAATTTCCAAGACATTGGCCCTTTGCAGGAAAGAATAATTAGGAGATGATTTCTATTTAGTAAATATTAATCAACTACCCCATTCTAGTGTCTGTGCTGTGCCGGGGTTGGGAAAGGGGAAGAAGTAGGTAATTAATGTAATACAGTCAGAGATCTCTCTTTCTAGCAAAGAAGCTAAATATGCATATAATTAAAGAGGGTAAAGTGTGTGAAGTTCATGGCTAGGACTTTTGAATATGGGAATTTGAACTACCCCGGGGTGATTCTGAATGAATGTCAGGACCGGAGTTGCTGGCCGGTCTTGGCCGCCTTGTCACCAGTCCCAGGTCCTTTCCTTGGCAGAAGAGCCAAGGCTGTTTATGTAATCAGCGGCGCCTCGCGGGCAACCGGGGGAACTGGCTGGAGGAGCCCAGCCAGGGCTGACAGCGCGCTCTTGGAATCCGCGCTCTGGGCGTTGGCTCGCTCCCGCCGCGACACCTGGGCCCGCCCTCCCTTCGCGGGGACACGTGCCCAGCAGCTTGGCGGTCAGCAGACGACTCGGCACGTCGGCTGCAATCCTGCCGCTTCCTAATCCCAACTGGGCGGCTGTAAAAACCTCGGAATGCCCGCCCCATCTGCCAACCCTACCCGCCGGCCAGCTGAAGAGAGTCGAAGAGGAAGAAACCCTTGAAAATTTTGAACTCTGGCGCAAATCGTGGGTCCGTCTCTTCGTCCTTTTTACTTATTCAGTATCACCCAGGAAACACAAGCAGTCCTTTAACTTCGATTCCTGGCAAAACTAGAAATGATACAGATTTTTGTTGTGATGGTGAGAGTTTGAGAGGAAGATGCACATAGTACTGGTTTAACTTTGCTTTCTCAGTATGAGGACCTGGAAAAGTCGGATGGATTTGTCTTTGAAAAGAAATCTTTTGCCATAACCAGAAACTTTTCAGCATTTCTGAAGGGATAGATGTCTGGGTCCTGAGTCAAATTCACTCCCAAATATTGATTCTGGTAGAGACCTTACTTAGAGGGTCTCACTCCCCCACCCTCGTGTGTCTGTGTGTGTGTGTGTGTGCGCGCGCGCGCGCGTGAGCGCGCTCCCTTTCTATTATGGAAAAGTTTTAAAGCTATATAAAAGTAGAGAAAATAGTATGATGAACTCTTGGGCACTTATCTCCTCCTTCAACAATTAGCAATTCATCTCCCCTCTTTTTTCCCCACCGTTTTTAAGCAAATACCAGACATCACATCTTTTGTAAAAACTTCAGTATGCAAATAACTTATAAAAATATAATGATCATACCTTAAAGATGAACAATTCTTTAATGTAAATGTACAACTGATGTTCATATTTTTGTCTCATGATTTTAAAAATTAATTACAATTAACTTGTTCAAACCAAGATGCAAATAAGTCTGCAATGCATGTGGTTGATATGTCCTTTAGTCTCTTTTAGTCTGTGTGTTTCTCCTCCTTTCCCAGCAATTTTTTGTTACTTTTTCTTTTTCTTTTTTTGTGATATTGAGGATTGAACTCAAGAGTGCTCTAACACTGAGCTACATCTCCAGTCTTTTTTATTTTTTATTTTCACAGTCTCACTACATGGCTGTGACTGACCTCCACCTCTTGTTCTTCCTGTCTTAGCTTCCCAAGTTGCTGGGATTATAGACATGTGCCACTGTGCCTACCTCAGCAATTTATTTAATGAAGAAAACTTGTTCCTTCTCCTGCAAATTTTCCAAATTGGAAGTTGCAGACTGTATCTTCTGAATCCCTTGTTACTCAGATCTAAATCTGATGAGTTTCATATTAGTTTTAGTTCTTCTTTATGGACACAGCTAAGAAATACTACTAACTATGTAGACAATTAGATTTATTTAATCTCATTTAATTTTTTATAATGATGTGAAATATTTACATTATGTCAAATATACAAAATGACACACACTTGTGCTGGGGATGTGGCTCAGCAAAGTTCAGCAAAGGCTGGCAAGTATGAGGCCCTGGGTTTGAAATATTTAGAAAAGACTAATTTAAACCTAATTTTACCCTCCCCCATAGGTAATTTGAATTAGGTTTTGGTTTATCCTTCTATTTAAAAAGAAAATAAATATAAGGAAAAATGTATATTAATACCCCTCCTTATGTGACATTTAATATACTATGTGTATGGTTACTCACTTAATTTTTTCACTTAACAATATATCTTGGAGGTCATCCCATATTACAACATAAATAGTCCTCATTTGCAAATTGGTATTAAAGAGGATCTGGCTGAGTCTCCTGAAGAGACAAAGCCCAACATGGTGGTTTTCAGACCTCAGGAAAGGATGAGGTCTGGACCAGCAAAGGCTGCATTCAGAGTTACTTGTGCAGGTGTGTGCAGCAGGAAAAATGAGGTGGAGGAAAAGAAGGGAGCAGCTCAGGTCAGCTTCTGCATCTTTAGTCTCAACTAGGGTTCAAATGCTTTCTCACCTCAGCTTTTTTTAACCATCACTTGTTGAGGGGCATTTGAGTTGCTTCCAATCTTGTTCTATTACAAAAAGTGCTGCAACGGATAGCCTTATGTATAGTCTTTTGGTGTATTTGAGTCTTTCTTCTTGATTCAGACATAGAAAGGGGAAGGGGAACCTGAGAGAAAAATGGAAAATTTTAAATGGGGTCAGAATATCAGAAAGTTTGGAAAGGGCTCCAGGAAGCCTAGCTTCAATGGGACTAACTGCAGCGCATCCCAAAATGGGGAGTTAGAAGGGAAGAGACGGAGAGAAAGGAAAGGGAACAACTCTAGGGATTCAGGGAGATTCGGGTGCCAGGGTACAGGAGCTGGAAAAAGGGGAAGATCTGCCCAGCGAAGGAGGCGTGAAAGGTATAGATGTGCTTGCTTGTGGTGCTGTCAAAGAAGACGATCTTCCCGCGTGCGTGGTCCACGAAGATGCCCACTTTCTTCGGACGGATGGGGAGGTTCTCCCGGGTACCACCATCGGTGAGCGCCTCGCACCCAATGCTTGTGATGCGCAGCGTCCAGAGGCCTGCCAAGGGCTCCACAAGCAGACAACCGCGTCTTGACACTAGCTCCGAGGCCACGCCCACCAGACAGCCCCCGCTTTCCCTCCCTTGAAGCTCCGCCTCCCAGGCCTGGCAGCCAGAAGAAATGCCTGGACAGCCCAGTACACAACGAAAAGGGTAGAAGCACTCGGGGTTGGCGGGCTCCTCCGACCTGCGCGGGAAGTGGAGGGCCAGAGTTACTGTCTTTAGATCCTGGGAAAGGATGAGGTCTGGGTGCGCTGAGGCCGCATCCAGTGTCACAGGGGCTGTGGGAAAATGAGGAGAAAGAGGGAGAGAGTCAAGTTGTTCAACCCCAAATTCTGAGCTTCCCCAGATGCAGCTGGAAATAGGTTTCCTCTCCCCAGGCACAACCCTAGCCATAGGAGAGGTCCTAGGCCTATCCCCCCCCCCCCAAAGTCCATCCCTAATTTCATCATGTGCTGTTCTGTGGGTGCAGAGGGGAGCTCCCTGCTGCTGATGGTGGTGGGATCATTTCAACAATCAAAGATGAGAGATCATCTCTTCCTTCCTCATTTCCCGTGGTCCCTGATTGAGGCTAGTATGAGATGTTGAGGCTCAGACTCTATGAGCTTAAGTAATTTTTCCAAAGTGAAGTCCCTCAAACACAAGAATGAAGAGGAAGATTGGAACACAGAAGGAATATTCAGAATCTCCTGACCTCAGTCCCACATTGAGGATTCAGACATTCAGGCACAGTTTACCAAGGCTAGAAGGCTCCCCATCCACCCTCCACAATGGTTTGATTGTGGGGACTTTCTGCTGATTTGTAATCTCAGTCTTTGCTGCAATATTAATTTTCCATTGCTACATGTGGGCATTTGGGTGAGATGGAGGATGTGGGAATGCAGGTAAGAGCGACAGCGGTCAGGCTCATGGGGAGGGTTAGGATCTTGACCCAAGCAGGCCTTACTCATCTTTGGCCTTGTGCCTGAACTACTGCCACTCAAATAGTTTAAAAAAAGGAGCGGCGGGGTAGTCAGGGAGGGAGTCAGAGGGAGACAGTGGTAGGGACTACGTTTATCCTCTAGGAGGCACCATAGCCAAAGTGATAGGAGAAGCCAAGAATGAGGCTAGAGCTCCAAGGGTCCAAGGTTGTCTTTTCCTTTCGTTTCATTAAAGAACGCGTTCATCCTTCTCCAGCCTTCACCACCACCCGCATCTTCCCTGTCAGTAGCCCAGGCCTCTTCCCGACTTTCCACTCCCTCGACGCGACTCTGCTCAACCAGGAACCATGATCGCCTTCAGCCACTCACTCAGCACCACTTTGAACCGTTCAGTAATCTCAGCGCCAAAGCTCCCCGCTCCGTTTCCAGGAACTTCAACATAAGTCTCCCTGCTTCCGGCCAGAAGTGATGCTGAAGGGGCGGCTTCCCCAGCAAAGGGAGCCCCAAATAAGGCGTGGGTTGGAGTTGCGGGGTAGGGATTCCATGGCCCCGGCTTAATTGTTTCGTCCCCTTTGAGGAAGAAGGAGAAGGAAAGTAGAAAAGATGTCAGTAAGCGTCAGCAATGAATCTCCATTGCCAATTGTGCGGCTGAGTTCTACCTACAGCAGGAGGGACCTAGGCTAAATTCAAGAAACAGGTTAGGGGCAAACGGATCCGGGGGCCCAGTATTTCCTGTAATTTGGAAAGTAGAGAAGACTCATGAGATGCCTGTCTTCCACCCATATCTGCCCATGCAATATGTGGCACCTGGTATACTCAAGAACTATAGATTCCACAGCACCCCATCCCCCAATCTCTTTTTAAGGTGTCTCTAAACCCCTTTTTCTGTTGTTTTCTTATTCTCCTATTTGAGTAGTGGGGAGTTTCTGCTGATTTGTAATCTCAATCTCAGGTAGATACTGAGAGCATTGATTCATTCCACCTAGTTCTGACAGGAGAGGGTGGCCTGCATGTTAGGAAATTTCAGTGTATTCTGGGTCAATTCAGTGTATTCCCGACGGTGGGTGGAAAGAGCATTTCCTCCAGTAGACTTGGAGGACCTCTCACTACCCCACAGGAAAATCCCAGTGTTTGGAGCAGACTCCTAGTTGGAAAAGATGACTCTGGATTATTTTTCTCTAATAGACACCCTAGGAATTAGGGAGAGAAAACAAAAAAGTTTTTTTGAGGCACTAGGAATGGAATCCAGGGTTTTTCACATGCCATGCCAGCCAAGCACTCTACCACTGAGCTATGTACCCAGACCCAAATTTAGTTTTAATAACCAGAAACTGCATATTAAAAACAAATACAAATAGCTAGGGGTAGTGGTGCAAATCTGTAGTAGTCCCAGCAACCAAGGAAGGTGAGGCAGGAGAATTGTAAGTTTGAGGACTGGCAACTCAGTGAGACCCCATCTCAAAACAAAAGATAAACAGGGTTGGGGACGTAGCTCAGTGGTTGAGCACCCCAGGCTTCAATCCTCAGTACCACAACAACAGTCAGTGGTTCTCAGTGAACACCATCCCCGACCCAAGGGGATGACAGACAGAAGGAGGCTTCCCTACTGGTCCATAATGCTAGAACCTGGGATGTTGAACACTCAACAGGGTACAAGTCAGGGAATACAGCAAACACTTACCTTCTTCAAAGGTCAGTATCTCCTCTTGTGGAATGCTGGTAGAATATAATCTCTAAATCTTGCTGACTTTGGAATGAACAGTGTCATTTCTGGCTTTGGAGAAGTGAATTCTTTATATATATATATATATATATATATATATATATATATATATATTAGTTGTAGTTGGACACAATACCTTTATTTTATTTACTTTTATGTAGTGCTGAGGAACGAACCCAGGCCTCACACTTGCTAGGCAAGTGCTCTACCTCTGACCCCAGTCCATGAATTCTTATTCTATTTCACTTAAAATCACATGGCCCAAGAAGCCTAGCTCTCTTCTCTGGAGTTCCAGGGAGCTTCATTGTAAATTGCAGGTAATAAACATGTACCTTGGGGGATAGTTGTAGGGTTTGCAATCTTGGAAATGGGATGCTCAGAACATAGTGGGTCTTTAAGAAATGATAATTCTAGTGTTACCATCAGGTGGCAGAACCATTTCTACTGATTTCAGTACAAGCTGTTATGACAATGTTTCTCCATCTCTGAATTATTCTAACATCACATCCATAGTAGTTTGCCCAGAAACCTAGGCCCAGCAGGTCAGCTAATACTACAAAGAGTCGCCTCCTTTGCTTCCTTGTCTCACTTTTTTTTCTCTGCCTCTAAGCAATGAAGAATCCTAAATTTTAGAAGTATTCAAAAGTAATAGATTTCTATTACTTTTGAATACTTCTAAAATTTAGGATTGTCACTATGCTGTGAATTACATAAGTTTAAATAAATAAAACATATGAGTCTGTTCTTCTCAATTGGTTCACTAGCATTCACCCAGGAAGCCTTTTTGAATCCAAAGAGAGAGTTCTTCCCCTTACATTTCTCACTTGCCCCAAATGACAGGAAGCAGCCATCACTTACAGTTCTGCTTGTCTTTTTCATTCATGCCTTTGAGGAATCTGTTTTTATCTTTCTTCCCATTAGCCTGGAGGTTATCTAGGGGTAGAAAATGCAAAGAAATGGAGTTGAGGGAGGTGAAACAGGAAGCAGGACTATACAGCTTGGCACTGACTTGAAATTTGAGATGCTTGGGACAAGTGGGGAGATGGATTTCTCTCTCATATTCTGGTTTTCAAATTTTAAATTTTATTTTTGGACTGAAAATTGAAGCTAGGGGCTGAGTTACATCCTCAGACCTTTTGTTTATTTATTTTTATTTTGAGACAGGTTTTCCCTAAATTGCTGGGGTTGGCCTTTGATCCTCCTGCCTCACCCTCCCCAGTTGCTAGGATTATCGGCATATGTAACCACACCCAGCTTGTCTCTCAAATTCTTAGTGAACCAAGAAGATACTAAAATATAGAAGTGTCCTTTGTGCTTCCCTGCAGTGGTTCTTTAGCCCAGCACTATTCAGTAGAAACACAGTAGAAGCCACAAATATGAACCACTTAATTTTAAATTTTCTAGTAGTCATATTAAAAAAGTAAATTAAACTGGTGAAATTAATTTTAAAGTATGTTTTATTTAACTCAGTATTTTCAAAATGTTGTCATTTTAACATATAGAATAAAAATGTATTGCTAGCTGAGTATCTGTAGTCCCAGCTATTCAGGAAGCCAAGGTAGGTGGATCACTTGAGTTCACAAATTTGAAACCAGCCTGGGCAACAAAGTGAGACCCTGTCTCAATTAAAAAACTATTGTAGAGCTAGGGATATATCTCAGTTGGTTGAGTGCCTGCCAAGCATGTACAAGACCTTGGGTTCAATCCCCAGCACCATAAATTTTATACACACACACACACACACACACACAAACACACACACGCACATATTCTACATTCTAGATTCTTTTTTTTTTTTGAGACAGAGTCTTGCTTAGTTGCTGAGGCTGACCTCAAACTTGGATCTTCCTGTCTCCATTTCCTAGGAAGCTAGGATTACAGGCATGTGCCATTGCACCAGCTTACATTTTATTTTCATACCAAGTCTTCAGAAATTGGTATGCATTCTAAACCTGTAGCGCATTCGGACAAGCTACATTTCAGAGCTGACAACACATCCTGAAGTAAATGTGGATGGAATGTGGACTTTTGTGATAGTTCTAAGTAGAGGACTCTATTAAAACTATCTTTACTCCCAGCTTAGACAACACAGTTTTGCAAGGAAGGGAGTCTTTACTGACGCCAAACCTGCTTCCCTGTTGCAAACCCAGATAAGATTTTTTCCTTTCTTCTTTCCTTCCTTTCTCCCGCCTTTCCCCATTCATTCTCTCTCTCTCTCTCTCTCTCTCTCTCTCTCTCTCTCTCTCTCTCTCTTTCTTTCTTTCGTACCAGGGATTGAACCAGGGACTCTTAACCAGTGAGCCACATCCCCAACCCTTTTTATTTTTTATTTTGAGACAGAGTCCTGATAAGTTGCTTAGGGCCTCACTAGGTTGTTGAGGCTGGCCTTGGGCTTATGATCTTCCTGCCTCAGTCCCCTGAGTTCTGAAATTAAAGACATGAACCACCATGCCCTGCCCAGGCAAGTTTTTAAAAAAAAAAATTAAAAAAATTTTAGTTGTAGATGGACATAATACTTTTATATTATTTATTTATGTGGTGCTAAGGATCAAACCCAGAGCCCTACGCACGTGAGGAAAGCACTCTACTACTGAGCCACAATTCTAGCCTTAGACAAGGTTTTGAAGAATATCTGACCAACTATCTAAAGCCCAAGTTGTTCACTTGGTGTTCTGGATGATTTCTGTTTCCTCAGGAGGGAGGAAAAAGGATTTTCCCAAAATGTCATTGACTTTTAATTGAGATTCACTTCTGTACTCAGGAAGAACCACTGGTTGTAGATCTCACAGTCCCTGCTTGAAGTCTTGGGAAAGTAGTATCCTGTCTCCTCTCTGGTCCCCCAGAAATAGTCACTTATGGTTTAAGTCAAAGCCCCTTCTAGTGGCTGTCATGAGTCAGGGAGGCAAATAAATAACATACTATGAAGATAGAGTTAGAATTGCCTGAAAGGAAGCATAGCAATACTTGGAAACTGCCCAAGAGAGATCCTAGCATTTGAAGGGCCCACTAATTATTATTGGCATGTACGAGTTACAGTTCAGCTTCTGGGGGGGGGCAGGGTGATGGGGAGAGAATCCCCAGAGGCAGGTGACTGAAGGAGGTGACAGCCAGTTCCATACCTTCGAATTTCTTCATGTTCTCTATGATGGAGTCATGTCTTGATTTTGCTTCACTGAGTTTTTTCTCCAGGTGTGGAGGAATCAGGGTTGGATTGAGAAATTGAAATTCTTCACTCCTATGAAGTCGTGGAAGGTGATGGTGAGATCAGGGGATGGGATGTGGGGGAGGGAGGACCTAGTGACATGCATAAGAGGAGATAGAGGCCTGGCTGGTGTGAGTCAGAGGTTAGTGAGCTAGGAGTCAGAGGCCAGGGCTAGAGCTACAGGGCTGGAGAGAGGTGGGGCTTGAGGAAATATGAAAACGAAGGTGAGAGTTGGAGACAGAGGAGAGACCAGAACAGGGGCAGGGAAATCTAGTAGGGGACCCAGGAGCCACCTAGTTGAGCAAGGGGACATACAGAAGGTGCCAGAAAATAGGAGAATCTGTGCTGAAGAACTAGGAAGTTGACAAAAAGCTTCTTTTTCTTTCTTTCTTTTCTTTTTTTTTTTTTTTTAAATCAACCAACCCTATGCTAAGGCTCAGGCATTCCCCATCTTCAACCTAAATAGTTGACTGCAAAATTAAGAGTGGAGATATTTGGGAGGGAAAAATGTTGAGTGTGTTTGAATATATGTTGAGTACTGTATGCATGATGCATGCGGGTTGGCCCATCATACCTGTGCAGGATAACTCTGATGTCCTAGAAGAGAAAGAGAGCACAGCTTTAGTGTGTAGCTGACCACAGGGCCAAAGTGAAGCTTCCCACCCTGCTAGAGATGGAGTGAGAAACCTTCCAATTCCCTCACTATTCCCATGTGCCCCTGGAGGGCTACTCCAAGAAGCACCTCATATACAAGTAGACAAGAAAAGTGAAGTGAAAATCTGAGTGAAGATGAGGAGAAGAAACACTGAGATTCTGAGAATGAATTTTTGTCTCTGATACTAAACCAAGGACAGGAGAGAGGCTGGAATGGCTTTGCATAATCTTTTCCTTTCTCTGTGTGTGGGTTGGGGGTGGGGTGGGGGATGGGGTAGAGAGAGAGAGAGAGAGAGAGAGAGAGAGAGAGAGAGAGATTTCTTGAAAGAAAGAAAGAAAAACTTATAGGCAAAGGAGATGAATTCAGGTGTGATCATCTCATCTAATTTTGTGCATCACCTAGACCTACGCTGTCCAATATGGTAGCCACTGCACAGCCACTTATGGCTATTAACACTTGAAACAAGGCTAGTGTGACAATAAACCACATTTTTAACTCAATTTAATTTTCACTAATTAAAATTTAAATTAAAAACTGAAGCAGGAGTAAAATTCTCTTTCCATGGAACACAACTTTATTGATTTGGTAGGATTACATTTTATTTCAACAACTGACAATTTAGCCTCTGAACTGAGATGTACTAAAAGTGCAAAATATATATTAGAAGTCAAAAACTCAGTACCCCCCCCCCAAAAAAAAAATTCCCAGAATGTAATACCTCAAAAATATGGAAAAAGGGGCTGATGCTATAGCTCAGTGGCAGAGTGCTTGCCTAGCATGCATGAGGCACTGGGTTCAATCCTCAGCACCACATAAAAGTAAACAAATAAAATAAAGGCATTCTGTCCATCTAAACTACAAAAATTAAAAAAAATATATATGGAGAACAGGACGAAATAACTTTTAGACATTGAGTTAACTAAATATTTTCTTAAAATTTATTTCATCAGTTTCTTTTTTACCTTTTTAATGTGGTTACTAGAAAAATTTAAGTTAGATACATGTTTTGCAGTGCATTTTAAAATCACATTATATAGTTCACATTATATTTTAAATTACACATGTGACCCACATTTTACTGCTAAATTATGTATGTGGCTTACATGTCTGTGCTAGAGGTAATAAGATTGGGGTAAATGCAAATAAAAACTACACTGAGATTTTATCTTACCCAACTTAGAATGTCAGCCATCAAGAATATAAACAATAATAAATTATGGCAAGTATGTGGAGAAAAAGGAACACTTTTACATTATTGGTAAGACTGTAAATAAATACAACCAGTATAGAAATCAGTATGGAGGTTCCTCAAAAGACTAGGAATAGAACGACAACATTACCCAGCTATCTCACTGCTTGATGTCTATCCTAAAGCATAAAAGACTTCATATTATAATCATATATGCATCGTCATATTTATAGCAGTATAATCATGTTCACCTAACTATGAAAACAGAGTAGGTGCTCATCAATGAATGAATGGATGAAGAAAATATGGTATATATATGCACGATGGAGTATTATTCAACCATAAAAATGAAATTGTTTCATTTGAAGGAAATAGATGGAACTTGAGAACATCATGTTAAGCAAAATAAGCCAAACTTGGAAAGTCAAGGTTCATATGTTTTCTTTCACATGTGCAAGCGAGAGAGGGAAAAGGAAAAGAAATGTTGTATGGGGAGGATCTCATGAAAACTGAAGGGAGATCAGTAGAATTGAGAAAAGAGATCAGAAGAAGGGAAGAGGGGAAGGAAAGAGAAATACTGGAGAATAATATTGGCCAAATTATATTGTTATATTGTGTGCATGCATGAATATGTACAATGAATCCCACCATTATGTACAACTATAATTTACCAAAAAAGAAAAAAAAAAGATGATTGGGGCAATCTCGCGTATTCTGTCAGGTGGTCCATGCTCTGACTTGAGACCAGGGATAGACTGCTACCTGTCCACAGTTCTGCCCCCAAAGGACTCTCACCTCCAGCAGCTGACTAGGAAGCATTTGCTGCTTGACCTTCAAGGAATCAATGAGCTTCTTGAGGGTGGTCAGCTGCAACTCCATTGAAGCCATGAAGAGTTTCCTGTGCTCTGTCCCCTCCTGCTCCAGCCAATGGAGCCGGGACAGGAGGAAATTCTTCTCCTCCTCAAGGACCTGCTGCAGGTGCCTGAATTCCCCAAGGATCTTTATCCTCTCAAAATTTACATGATTCTGGTGGCAAGAGAAAGGGACACAGAGATGAGAGGGTAGCCTCCAATATCTGCCCAGGCCACTGTATTCAATTTTAAGTGTATTAAGTTTATACTGAGTGCCAGAGCAGAACCGTGTACTGTGACAGACTTGTAGGAAAGGAGAGGTGAGAAGAATGAACTTTAAAAGCACTTCCTATGTTCTTTGTTTTAGGCTAAGTTATGTTTCATCATTTTCACCTTTAAGGACCTCAGTGTCTAAAACTCACATTTTCAGAAGGCTGTCAGGTTATAATCTGCTGTCACATAATTTTTCCTTGGACATGCCAACAAAACAAGACACCTAAAAGTGTTGGGTGATACCACAGTCTCTCATTTCGAACTTGAGAATCAGTCTCTTGTTAGTCATGGCCTCCTTAGGCAGAGCTTAGTTAAAAGCCAATATTTCTGATTTTAAGACCAGTGCAGGTTTTCCTTTTACCAACTGTGGTGCCGGTGTCAGAGGCAAGCTGCCTACCTGCTCTGTGAAAGCAAGGTGGGTCACCCAGCTGCTGCACCCTGGCATGTCAAGTCCTTAGAGGAGAGGGCGTGAACACACCTAGCCCGCAGGTCACATTCTCTGTCCCCACCCAGGGCTGCTCCTCCTATACACTGTCTCTTTCTGCCCCAGTTTTTGTCACAGAACCTTTTTTTGGAGGGTGAGAACAATAAAGAGTTTAGGATCTTCCACAGAAATGTTTCTGTTTCCAGGGACCATGGGATGGAGTTTTTCCTTACCATAAAATCATTGATCTTCCATTCGCCTTGCTCCTTCTTTTGTACTATCTCCTTCTCTGTTTGCTGCAAGATCTCAACCTGAGATTGAATCTTCACCTGTGGGGAGGGGGTCCTTTTTGTAGGTTGTGCCTGAGTTCTCTTCTCATTAAATCCCTCTGAGTCTCTCAGAGAAGCAGGTATGATTGACTCTCCAGGGAGTCCTAATATAATTATTAATAGCACCCCCCCACTTTCTTTCTCAAGCTGGGGGGAGGAGTGGGATAATGGGAAAAGATGGAGCCTTAGTGACTGACCTAAGAGAGAAAAATGTTATTTATGACTAATTAGAATTAATATTTGCAGGGTGTTTTGGCATCATCAAAGAACTCCCACAAACTTGCCCTGATTTGCCCTATCAACAATTTTAAGACATAGGTTTTGTTTGGATCATTTGAAACTTGAGGCACCTGAGGTTGGGAGAGGTAAAGAGTTTCCTTGAAGGTTATAAGGATACACAGGAGTCAGAACTTGAGCCCAAACCTTCTGAGCTAGAATTCAAGTCCTGTCCAGTCTTCATGGTGCATTGCATTGGGCAGCATCCCTCCCCCACCATGGCTGACTGAATTGCCCACTTAAGAGCAAAGGGTGGTACAAACCACCTGGAAGAGGTAACAGTTTACAGATCCCCACTAAAGTCCTCTTCTGATGTGGGGAGCAGAGAAGGGCCCCCAGATGCCTACCTGATATTTCTGGGCAGCTTCTTCTATCAAACTGTCATTATGCGTTCTGTGGTCCTCGGATTCACAACACATCACACAGAGGAAATTCCCACTGTGCTCACAGAAGTAATAGAGCTTCTCTCCATGCCTCTGACATTTCAGCTCATCCCTTTCTGGTTGCTCCTCAGAAGCACTCATAGCTTGGATTTTTTTCACCAGATTTACCAACAGCCAGTTGGGCCTGAATGTTTTGTTCACAGAACTGTTGCAGAGGGGACATTTGAAAAAACTGCCTGATGCTTCCCCAATCCGTGTGATGCATCTGTTGCAGAAATTGTGTCCACAGTCGATGGTGACAGGGTCCTGCAGAAAGTCTGTGCAGATGGGGCAGATTACTTCCTCCTGCAGTTGGCTGGAAAACTGTTGGCTGGCCATGAGTGAAGAGAAGGCTGCTTCAGGTGTTGAAAGTCTGGAAGTCTGCTATGGACACTGGCTCTAGTAATGGAGAAGGAAAGAGAGGAGGTGCAGGTCGAAGAGTCTATCAATTCAAAGGATGGGGAGGGAGGAAACAAAGAGGGAGAGAAAAGTAAATGAATGATAGAAAAGAGTAAAAATTCAAATGTCGGGAATATTATAAAGAGAGGAAAACAGAACTATCCTACCTGGCTACCTCTTAAGAACAAATGGATATTGTGAATGTATCTAGGCTGCTTTTGAAATGAGATAAGTTGTCCTGAACTTTGAACTAATTAAGGATATGTTTCAAAGGCAGTTAATTGAGACCAGAAGGACTAGGGCACCAAAGTCCACACAGGAAGTACTTCCCATCAGCTGTGAAGGGACCTGAGGAGGGGCTGAGTGAAGCCCGCAATGCTTTGGGCATTCCTTGTAAGCCAAGCCCAAACTTGGGGAGAGCACATGGAAAAGAAGGAAGTAAGGAAGGGAGGGAGGCAGGGAGGAAGGAAGGGGGATAAGATAATCCTCTATTTTGGGTTTGAAGAATTCTGTGAAAATATGGAAGACATTATCACCCACCTTGGGGAATTTTTAGTCACAAAGAGAAACAAGTATTTCTCTTGTGGGGGAACTCTTAGTCCAGTGGGAGAAGCAAGAAACTTTCTTTCTACAGGGCCATTTTTACTTTTTGTATATTATTCTTGACCCTGGTGAATCTTTTACTTTCCCATCGTACCAGTAGCCACCTGTCCTCTACTGTTTTTTTTTTTTTCCTGCAGTTCTTCAACACTCTGATGTCTCTGTGCCCATTCTTTACCCAATCTTATTTTGGTCTATGTATGTTTCTTCTTCCTTGTTGGTGCTTCTCTGATCCCTGGCTTACCCTGCCCTATGACTTTTGTTCTGATGAGGAAAATATCAAGCAGTGTCACCTGTGTTCCCTCCTTTATCTCAATACATTTGTGTCTTAATCTTTCCTCCTTCCATATGTCTCAAGGAAAAAGAGTGCTTCCTCCCTTCCCATCTCTGAGTACTGGTTTCTACCTTTACCTCCTCTTCTCTCCAGCATCTGGCACCTATTCCCATCAAGAAGGACATCATTCATTTTTTTTTAAATTTCAGAGTTTTATTGTATTGCACTAAGGGGACGCAGGATGGTTATACAATTTTCTCATTCAGTTTTGAAAATCTAAAGTACTTGCAAATTCTTAAGAATACCTTTACCACCAGATTAAAACAGTAAACATAATATAACCAATTTCTTAATAAGTAGTGTCTTACAAATAAAAACACATTTAAAATAGCGTTAAATGCGTCCTTCACAAGTAATCCAGTATATATATTTTATATCACATTCACTTATGCTTAAGAATTAAAGCAAGTACATTACTCTGATGGAAACATGGGAAGTCTTTCATTCATGCAACATATAGGGATAATATTCAAGTTGAAGGAAAAAATTCCCACTCTTCTTATTTTTGTAAATGTATCCATATATAATCATCTACCTGATAAATGAGGAAACCTATAAAGTTTCCCACAAGTCAGATACATATTTTCAATTCATCAGAAGCACCTGATAGCTACAGCTAATTTATGATTAAATGGCATTTCAATAAAACCAAAATGGGGCCTACAAGTTTCTATAAACAAAAGTTTCCCATGAAATAAGGACAGTCAGTAATTAATGCACTCATTTGGAGGATCATGGCTGTTCTTTAAGGAGTTCAAACCTGTCAACACCAAAGGTAGTCATTTTATATTAATTTATACATAATTCCATTTAAATTCTTTGTCCAAGTATAACATATGAAAACAGTCTTCTCGGGCTGGGGATGTGGCTCAAGTGGTAGCGCGCTCTCCTGGCATGTGTGCGGCCCGGGTTCGATCCTCAGCACCACATACAAACAAAGATGTTGTGTCTGCTGAAAACTAAAAAATAAATATTAAAAAATTCTCTCTCTTAAAAAAAAAAACGAAAGAAAGAAAAGAAAACAGTCTTCTCACAAGCAAAAAATGTGGAAACATTTAAAAAATAAGGAGTCTTTTTTTAAAGTAACTGATCAGATTCCATAGGCTACTCTTGGAAACAGGATCTTGCCATCATTTGGTGGCTGTTGCACGCACTTAACCGCACCAATTCTTCTGTGTGTTGTTCTAAGAGCTCACCAAAACATAGGTCATGCCATACAGGTAGTTTAAAAAAAAATGCTAGAAAGTAAAAAGCTAACTTGCACCATCCTTCTTTCTGACAGTATGCTAAAATATCTGCATTCATGATGTTTGAAGGATCCTAGAGTCCCGGTCCACTCATCACTGGTCTATTCATGTACCTCCAAATATGATATGCCAAGACCCAGTGTAAGCCACTCTGCTGCACAAAGAAACGTGACACAGACCAAAGCATGGATGAGGTACTTTGGAAGTACAAGAGGATTCAGGGTATTACACTGGTCTATAGGATTCTTGTAATCAATCTTCAGCTCATTAAATGCTATAATCAGATGGCCAAGAAGATGAGCCCGGCGGTGAGCAGCAGTGCCAGCATGTAGCAGAAGGCCATGAACGTGAATGCCAAGGCTGAGAAGGAGGAGGGGCAGCGGCGCGGGTGTTAGCGGAGAAAGACCGTTCATTTTTATCTGGTCTAAATCTTAAGTCAAGCGGAGATGGTGGATGATTTTATGATTATATAGCCAGAGCAATTATACATTCTTCTTTGCCTGGATTAGTGCTGGGTTTCACCTTTGTCCTGGTACACAACTCTTTTTTCTCCCTTGCCAGCCCCCACCAGGTGTTAGGGATTGAGCTGAGGACCTTGTGCATGGTAGGCAAGTGCTCTACCATTGAGCTACACCCCAACCTGGTGTAAAGATTACTAGTACTTCCTTTCATTCTCACAGTTTTCCAGTTTGGATAATAAATTATGTGGTTATGCTAATTATAGCAATTGTTGGAAACCAAGGACTTTCAGGAATAATATACTATAGGCTTCTCCATTTGTTTTAAGATCAAATTAAAGCAGCTGAAAATTTTAAGATTTTATAGGTTATATTCATCCTAAACTAATGGCCTCTGGAGGCAGAATTTAACTTAAAAAAATTCTTATTTATTTATTTCCCCACATTTTTAAGATTGGTGAATAATAGTTGTACCTATTGGGATTTGTTGTTACATATACATACATGCACACACTATAACAACATAACTTGGCCAGTATCACTCTCCAGCATTTTCCCCCTCCCTCCCTGCCTCTTACCCCTTGTAGAATTTAACTTTTAGACAGGTTTTATTTTGTATGATGATTTAAAAAGTAGTAATAATTTGAATGTCTCTCTACAAGGTGGCTATTTTCCTCCACCCTTTTACCTCATGTCTCCCCAGCCCCTGTAGGCATTTCCTAACTTAGCAATTTATTTTGCATATATTATCATATTTAAATCTCAATTGCAAAAAAAAAAAAAAAAAAAAAAAAAAACTTGTCAGTATCCATTCTCTAGGAAACCAAGTATGCTTCAAAATCAAAACTTAGGGTTTGTTAAACAATAGGACTTGTTAAAACACAAATTTGCTGAGACCCAGCACAGACTTTCTGTTTCAATAGGTTCAGGGAAGAACTGAATTTACATTTTAAACAAATCCCCAGGAAGTACAGTGCTGTCCCACTGAGAACTACCGGTTTAGAGACACCATAAGTTGCTCGAGCTACTCCAGATAACAAATGACGGACCTCCATATTAAATGTTCTTTCTTTCTCACAGCATTAATAAAAACACATGGCAATCTTCAAAAGTGACAAGCAAATCTTTTCAAGTTTGGAGAAGCCAGCAGAGAGAGAGAAAAGGAAAATGCACATATGAACACCATCAGCGATTTCAGACAATTATCACTAAACAGGCATGATAATTTCATGAAGGGGAAACAGACATAAAAGAGGAGACTGTAACCAGTGTGGAGGCACATGCCTGTAATGAAGCAACCAGGAGGCTGAGGTAGGAGGATCTTAAGTCTGAGGCTTCACTATGTGGTGAGATACTCTCGAAACAAAAAATAAAAAGGGCTGGGAATGTGGTAGAACACCCCTGGGCTCAATCCCTAATACCAGCCAACCAACAAACAACAAACACCCCCCCCCACACACACACATATTATGTAGTGGTCCAAAAGTGCTTTCACTCTCCTAGAATTATTATTGTTATTCTTGGGCTATTCATCCACGGGACTCAATGGAATGGATATTTAAAACTCTTAGCAGATTCAGCAGTTTGCAACCAAACTGCCTCCAATTTACAAAGGATGAGGTCTTCTTTTTTCAGTACTGGGGATCAAACTCAAAAGGTGCTTTTCCACTGAGCTATATGTCCAGCTCTTTTCATTTTTTTGTGACATGGCCTCAAGCTTGTGATCCTCTTTCCTCAGTCTCCCAAGTTGTTGGGTTTACAGGTCTGCAATGCCATGCCTGGCTTAGGGTTGAGGACTTGAAAGAGATGCTATTGCATGTTAGTTCCAGAGGGATAAGACATCCAAGCATAGAGTTTATAAAAACTAGCCCTAGAAGAGAAGTGATATAGTGCTGCCGCCAAGATAGCTATCAAAAAAAAACAGACAAGAAGTCACACAGCAGTGGGTGCATGGATTCAGTGGGGTCCTGTTAAGACTAATGATGACCTTCTCAGAAGTCAGTGAGGGCCAGAGGTAGTTCTGTGACTAGATATCTCCTGTTCTGTCCTACAATGTTACATCAGCCTCCCCTGTATCAGAGCTCCAGCTTAGAGATGAAGATAAGGATGGAAGAAGCTGATGTAGCTCAGGGGCAGAGTGGGAGCTAGGGGATGGGAACCCCGGCTCCCTCTAGTCATTGGTTGGGTGCTGCTTCTAGGGAGTGTTAATTCTGGGCACTTTCAGCCTGTACTGCACAGGCAGAGCAGACTGATGACCACAAGAAGCCCTTGCATGAAAAGTTACAGGAGCTGGAAGTTGGAAGTGGGATGTTGACAGTGTCCATAACAGGAAACTATCTACAGAGATTAAAGATGGGCAAAGAATCAGACAGACATGTTTTTAATATCTCTCTCTCTCTCTCTC